AGATACTCTACCTCAGGCGAGCAAAACCTCGAGACTTCCTTAGTATTTGATTTTGTGCACCAGCTGTTGTTTACAAATATACACAGACCGCCACCCCTTGTCTTACCGGAGTCAGCCGTTCTATCCTGCCGATGTAGCGTATAGCCCGCTAGCTGTATGTTATCATTGTCGTCATTCATCCACGACTCGGTGAAACATAGGATATTACAGTTTTTTATGTCCCGTTGGTAGGATAACCGTAATCTTAGGTCATCCAATTTGTTATCCAATGATTGAAGATTGGCTAATAGTATTGATGGAAGAGGCAGTTTACTCGCTCGCCGTCGGATCCTTACAAGGCACCCCGATCTACGTCCACGATATCTCCGTCTCTTCCTCACGCGAATGACGGGGATTTGGGCCTTGTCGGGTGTCTGTATGATATCCTTCGCGGCCGCCTCGTTGAAGAAAAAATCTTCGTCCAATACGAGGTGAGTAATCGCTGTCCTGATATCCAGAAGCTCTTTTTGGTTATAAGAGACGATGGCAGAAACATTATGTACAAAATAAATTACAAATAACGCGGAAAAACACACATAATACACTGCTCAAAAAAATAAAGGGGAACACTTATACAACACAATGTAACTCCAAGTCAATCACACTTCTGTGAAATCAAACTGTCCACTTAGGAAGCAACACTGATTGACAATACATTTCACATGCTGTTGTGCAAATGGAATAGACAACAGGTGGAAATTATAGGCAATTAGCAAGACACCCCCAATAAAGAAGTGGTTCTGCAGGTGGTGACCACAGACCACTTCTCAGTTCCTATGCTTCCTGGCTGATGTTTTGGTCACTTTTGAATGCTGGCGGTGCTTTCACTCTAGTGGTAGCATGAGACGGAGTCTACAACCCACACAAGTGGCTCAGGTAGTGCAGCTCACCCAGGATGGCACATCAATGCGAGCTGTGGCAAGAAGGTTTGCTGTGTCTGTCAGCGTAGTGTCCAGAGCATGGAGGCGCTACCAGGAGACAGGCCAGTACATCAGGAGACGTGGAGGAGGCCGTAGGAGGGCAACAACCCAGCAGCAGGACCGCTACCTCCGCCTTTGTGCAAGGAGGAGCAGGTGGAGCACTGCCAGAGCCCTGCAAAATGACCTCCAGCAGGCCACAAATATGCATGTGTCTGCTCAAACGGTCAGAAACAGACTCCATGAGGGTGGTATGAGGGCCCGACGTCCACAGGTGGGGGTTGTGCTTACAGCCCAACACCGTGCAGGACGTTTGGCATTTGCCAGAGAATACCAAGATTGGCAAATTTGCCACTGGCGCCCTGTGCTCTTCACAGATTAAAGCAGGTTCACACTGAGCACATGTGACAGACGTGACAGTCTGGAGACGCCGTGGAGAACGTTCTGCTGCCTGCAACATCCTCCAGCATGACCGGTTTGGCGGTGGGTCAGTCATGATGTGGGGTGGCATTTCTTTGGGGGGACGCACAGCCCTCCATGTGCTCGCCAGAGGTAGCCTGACTGCCATTAGGTACCGAGATGAGATCCTCAGACCCCTTGTGAGACCATATGCTGGTGCGGTTGGCCCTGGGTTCCTCCTAATGCAAGACAATGCTAGACCTCATGTGGCTGGAGTGTGTCAGCAGTTCCTGCAAGAGGAAGGCATTGATGCTATGGACTGGCCCGCCCGTTCCCCAGACCTGAATCCAATTGAGCACATCTGGGACATCATGTCTCGCTCCATCCACCAATGCCACGTTGCACCACAGACTGTCCAGGAGTTGGCGGATGCTTTAGTCCAGGTCTGGGAGGAGATCCCTCAGGAGACCATCCGCCACCTCATCAGGAGCATGCCCAGGCGTTGTAGGGAGGTCATACAGGCACGTGGCGGCCACACACACTACTGAGCCTCATTTTGACTTGTTTTAAGGACATTACATCAAAGTTGGATCAGCCTGTAGTGTGGTTTTCCACTTAAATTTTGAGGGTGACTCCAAATCCAGACCTCCATGGGTTGATCAATTTGATTTCCATTTATAATTTTTGTGTGATTTTGTTGTCAGCACATTCAACTATGTAAAGAAAAAAGTATTTAATGAGATTATTTCATTCATTCAGATCTAGGATGTGTTGTTTAAGTGTTCCCTTTATTTTTTTGAGCAGTGTAGTACAAATGGTTAGAGGGCTGTAAAACGGCAGCCATCTTCTCCGGCGCTGTTCATGTCCTGTTCATGTCCCGGTAGACTGTTAGCCTAAAGTCTGTGCTTCAATGACAATTAGCAAATTCGGTATGAAGAAGTAATGGGAAAAAGAAAACCTCTCTGGGATTTCCCCACAGCAACTACATCACCACTGACTGCAGAAAACCCCCCACCCCACAGTAAAACAGACTACCCTATGAAAACGTAGTCAGTTACAGAGCAGATTCAGCACTTAGTCAATGACTCCCTCTGTTGTTGAAAATAGGAAGTAGCACATTCTCACAGTACACACACGCACACACACTATGTCTATGGTCGGATGGATGACAACTAGTTCAACATTTCTTCGGGCCTTTTAGGCATATGTTAGGCAACAGTATTGAAGTGTAGGATAATTAAACCCATTGATTGCTGTACTTTCTTTCAGGCAGGAGATACCATTAAGTCAAACACACTAGCACACCTTGCCAATTGGCTTAACCCACTGAGGCAATAGTATAATGCTAGGCTGGCTATATTAAAAAAATGTTTTTATCTATTTCATTCACAATTTTTGTTTTTATACACCAAAAGCAAACTCATATTATGCATATCTTCTACTGGTATTACAAAAATATACTTCTCAGTTTAATTTCAAATTTTCCTAGTTCATAAACATAAATTTGACAAGGGCTTAAATACCGATTTTTCACCTTGGATTTCTTTATTCGTTATGAAAGAAATGTTGTAGCCTAATCCTTTACACAGGAGTCCTGCCAGATGCGTCAGAGTAGGCGTGCCTACTACAAGACGTTGTTGGGTTATAAACGCTGTGCAACAACTAATTCTGGCTTTCAGTCTAGCTGGAACGAAGAGTGGTGGAAGCACGCGCCCTCAAACGCAATAAAACGATTTTAAATACTAAAGTAAATAACATTTTTAAAAATGTCGTACAATAAAGTAGTACCAGCTCTAGTCAGGTCAAGTTACGACAACATCAAGAGAATATGCTTGTCTCAGGGGAGACATTACATTTACATTACATTTTAGTCATTTAGCAGACGCTCTTAACCAGAGCGACTTACAGGAGCAATTAGGGTTAAGTGCCTTGCTCAAGGGCACATTAACGTCATTTAGCAGACGCTCTTAGCCAGAGCGACTCACAAATTGGTGCGTTCACCCTATAGCCAGTGGGATAACCACTTTACAATTTGGGGGGGGGGGGGGGGGGTTAGAAGGAATACTTTATCCTATCCCAGGTATTCCTTAAAGAGGTGGGGTTTCAAATGTCTCCGGAAGGTGGTGAGTGACTCCGCTGTCCTGGCGTCGTGAGGGAGCTTGTTCCACCATTGGGGTGCCAGAGCAGCGAACAGTTTTGACTGGGCTGAGCGGGAGCTGTGCTTCCGCAGAGGAAGGGGAGCCAGCAGGCCAGAGGTGGATGAACGCAATGTCCTCGTTTGGGTGTAGGGACTGATCAGACCCTGAAGGTACAGAGGTGCCGTTCCCCTCACTGCTCCATAGGCAAGCACCATGGTCTTGTAGCGGATGCGAGCTTCAACTGGAAGCCAGTGGAGTGTGCGGAGGAGGGGGGGTGACGTGAGAGAACTTGGGAAGGTTGAACACCAGACGGGCTGCGGCATTCTGGATGAGTTGTAGGGGTTTAATGGCACAGGCAGGGAGCCCAGCCAACAGCGAGTTGCAGTAGTCCAGACGGGAGATGACAAGTGCCTGGACCAGGACCTGCGCCGCTTCCTGTGTAAGGCAGGGTCGCACTCTCCGAATGTTGTAGAGCATGAACCTGCAGGAGCGGGTCACCGCCTTGATGTTGGCGGAGAACGACAGGGTGTTGTCCAGGGTCACGCCTAGGCTCTTCGCACTCTGGGAGGAGGACACAGCGGAGTTGTCAACCGTGATGGCGAGATCATGGAACGGGCAGTCCTTCCCCGGGAGGAAGAGCAGCTCCGTCTTGCCAGGGTTCAGCTTGAGGTGGTGATCCGTCATCCATACTGATATGTCTGCCAGACATGCAGAGATGCGATTCGCCACCTGGTTATCAGAAGGGGGAAAGGAGAAGATTAGTTGTGTATCGTCAGCGTAGCAATGATAGGAGAGACCATGTGAGGATATGACAGAGCCAAGTGACTTGGTGTATAGGGAGAAAAGGAGAGGGCCCAGAACCGATCCCTGGGGGACACCAGTGGTGAGAGCACGTGGTGCGGAGACAGCTTCCCGCCACGCCACTTGGTAGGAGCGACCGGTCAGGTAGGACGCAATCCAGGAGTGAGCCGCGCCGGAGATGCCCATCTCGGAGAGGGTGGAGAGGAGGATCTGATGGTTCACAGTATCAAAGGCAGCAGACAGGTCTAGAAGGACAAGAGCAGAGGAGAGAGAGTTAGCTTTAGCAGTGCGGAGAGTCTCCGTGACACAGAGAAGAGCAGTCTCAGTTGAATGACCAGTCCTGAAACCTGATTGGTTTGGATCAAGAAGGTCATTCTGAGAGAGATAGCAAGAGAGTTGGCTAAAGACGGCACGCTCAATAGTTTTGGAAAGAAAAGAAAGAAGGGATACTGGTCTGTAGTTGTTGACATCAGTGGGGTCGAGTGTTGGTTTTTTGAGGATGGGAGCAACTCTCGCTCTCTTGAAGACGGAAGGGACATGGCCAGCGGTCAAGGATGAGTTGATCAGCGAGGTGAGGTAGGGGAGAAGGTCACCGGAGATGGTCTGGAGAAGGGAGGAGGGGATGGGGTCAAGCGGGCAGGTTGTTTGGGCGGCCTGCAGTCACAAGTCGCAGGATTTTATCTGGAGAGAGAGGGGAGAAAGAAAGAGACTTCGCTCCACGGTCGCATCCACGCAACGTGATGAGGTTGAAGGAGGGAAAGAGAAGCAAGTTGATGAGTGCACGGTGGTGAAAGCTGTTCAAGCGGACCTCATCAGCCAATCAAAAAATACAACCGATGCTCAAACACAGAAGATCGCAATCGACTTTGACAATACTCATGAAGCTTACAAAAGTAAAGATAACATTGAGCTGCTTAGAAGTCTGTTGGTCTTCAAGCTTTGCACATTCGACTTCCTCGTTGACAAGAACAAGGAGGTAGGGACATTATTTTGATTAGATTGTTTTTGCTACATTCCTTTGATTAGTTTTTACAGGTGTGGTTAGTAGGCTAACTGTCATACAAGTGATATCAGATAACATAATGGACATTTCTGACTGTCAAAAGGGCCATTATTCAACATGCATGCAGAAGAACAACTTCCATTTATTTCACAGCCTAACATTTCCAGGTGCACAAGTAGTTTAGCCCTATTATCATTATCCTGGCTGACTGACTACACAGCAATCTGTGACTGAGGCAGGTGTTAACTAAACTATATTATCATACCATTTGTATTGAATCTTGTGACTGAAAATGAAAATCAAATGGTGGTGGTTTTCGTAGATCAGTTCCTGGGTGGATCAAATTATAAGGAACACTATAACTGGCATGTTGTGGGTCTAACTCAGTTGATTATTTGCTCTGTCCTCAGTTGATGGACCTTAGCAAGAAGGTGTTTGGCCAGCGGCTGTTTGAGAAGCTGATGAAGATGACGTTTTATGGGCAGTTTGTGGCCGGGGAGGACCACAACTCAATCAAGCCTCTGATCCATAAGAACCAGGCCTTCGGTGTGGGGTCAGTCCTGGATTACAGTGTGGAGGAGGACCTGACCCAGGAGGAGGCAGAGAAGAAGGAGATGGAGTAAGTAGTCTCTGCCCTCCTAGTCTGCTGTAGTAGTCTGTATCTCATTAGTCACAACCCCAGCTGAAGTAACACTAATAGAGGATATAGGACTCTTGCAGTATCCACAATTCAAATACAAGCTTTCACATTTTCTAGTTTCATAATTTATTGATTAGGAATCATTGATTATTTGTAGCTATGTGATGTACAGTGAGATGCCTATACTTTTACCTCAGTGCCCACTATGTAAACGTTTTCTGCAATTGACCTATTGCAAAAGGCTACAGTCAAAATAATCCTATCTGATCCAATACTATTGGGGAACAAGTCATATGGTCAGTTCCATATGTTGCACTTTTCTCAAACACACTCTCTCACAAACACACAGGCCTACTCATGTTTCATATTCATAAAAACCTGTGTTTACAACTTCTCACCATAAAACATGCCCATCCCATTTTTCATGGGTTCAAATGGATTGTAAACAATGCATCTCTTTCAGCATCTGACATTACCCAGCACTACCCGGCCACCATTGGTTAGTTTGTTGAGCTGAAGAAGCAAGTTTATTCCAGTCCCTTTGAGAATGCAGTTACATGCGATGGATTAAGACAAGCCTGCACTGTTGGGTAACTTGATGCACCCTTTCAAAAGAGGCCCAGGGAGTGTTATGTTTTCATTTGTTTTGGGAAACAGCCTTCCCCTGTTTGGTTAGGGATTTTCTTATAGACTGACTATGCACACATTCAAGCTGAACTAACAGGCTGAATAACGAAGAGGGGTGGGGTGGTGGATGGGATTGACAGTGAAAAGGTTAGTGACACCATTAAAGACCAACTTGATAACATTCTGACCATACCTCATTGCTGTGGAACTCTCCACACGAGGAGACTAATAAGGACTTTTGGAGCCAGCCTACATTAGTGGAGTATCACACAACATCCTCTCCTCTCTTGTTAATTATTGGATGTACCAGAGAGGAAGAGGACTCATATTCACTGGAATTGTTCAAACAAGTAAGGTTTTAACACCCCCTTGAAGTGATGACGGTCCATACATTATCAACATGTTGTGAATTAATCATTGTGGGAGTACCAGAGTTGCAATCAACCTTTAATTTTTTTAATCATGGTTGGCAAAGTACATGCTTTGATTGAGTTTCTGAAGTCTATTACTTTCAAACGTCGAGACTCAAACTAATGTATGTTAAAACTTTCATTCAAATTGTGCAGTTAGCCTGTGCAAATATTTACCCCTTGATAACATTAAGCCATGGCAATCATTGAAACAACCAACAGCACGGAAAGATGCCAGCAGCATACCACCATGCATCCCACTGCTAGCTTGCCTCTGAAGCTAAGCAGGGTTGATCCTGGTCGGTCCCTGGATGGGAGACCAGATGCTGCTTGAGGTGGTGTTGGAGGGCCAGCAGGAGGCACTCTTTCCTCTGGTCTAAAAAATATGCGAATGCCCCAGGGCAGTGATTGGGGACCTTGCCCTGTGTAGGGTTCCGTCTTTCGTATGGGATGTTAAACAGGTGCCCTGGCTTTCTGTGGTCACTAAAGATCCCATGGCACTTATTGTGACAGTAGGGGTGTTAACCCCGGTGTCCTGGCTAAATTCCCAATCTGGCCCTCATACCATCATGGCCACCTAATCATCCCCAGCTTTCAATTGGCTCATTCCTCTCCCATGTAACTAATCCCCGGGTTGTTGCTGTAAATGAGAATGTGTTCTCAGTCAACTTACCTGGTAAATGAAGGGTTAAATAAAAGTAAATAAAAAAATACAGCAATGTGCTAATGAGATCAATTTCCTTCATGTTATTCAAGCTTGGGTATTAGAGTCCTGGATCTTACTGGATTAACCTAGGCTACTGAATGTGTGATGCACTGAGGTTTTGAAACAGTCAACACTCTCAGTGATCAGAAGTCCACGACGGCACAAGAGATCAACTAGCAGGACATTTGCACTTCTACATAATGTTAGCACCCTCCCCCCAATCCCCCTGTCGTGCGTACCATATATATAGTACAGTCAACATACTGGCACTCACTCTGTGGTTGTGAAACGACCACACTCACCCCATTTTCCTCCCCATCTACTTACTTCAACATTATTTCGAACATCTTATTTGGTACTGAACACCTGAACACTTGTAGTTATTAGGCTTTTTGCCTGTATAGTAGTGGTTGTAGTAGTGATATAAGTATCTCTCAGTTGATGTCATGTTAATTCAGTGTTTCCTCTCTTTCAGCGCCTGTGTTTCTGAAGCTGAAAAAGAAAGTCCAGGTGTGTATTTGTTGACTGAAACGGATTAACAACTCAAAATGAGTTTTCAGTTTGGTTTACAATTAATTTATTCGGTTATGATTGAGTTTTGTTGTAATTGATTGGTTATTTATGCACTTTATAATTTGTTGCAGTGCCAGCTTCAGAATTCTTCGTAACGCAGGAGCATGACCACAGTAATGTTACTTGACATAAATGTTTCATTACTGATGTATCAGGCCATCTGGTTGGTGGAGGTGGGGGGTGGAACCCCTTTCACACACGGCACTTAACCGTGCGTGTGAAAGCAGTGGGGTTGCATTGCCAAAATGTCTGTCGCTTCAGCAGTGTTCCTGAATGCAAATTTTCCTGGGTCTATGCTAGCGGTCATTTAAGGGTTAATATAGAGCTGTTACATGAGATTGCATGGTTGAGGGAGCAGGTTAGATCTGGATTTAGTCTGGAGGCTAGGAGGGAGAGAGGGGTTAATGAGGGCAGGTATGTAGGGTTGGGCGGTATCCAGATTTTGTGCTCACAAGGGGCGTTATTTATAAAACAATATATATACTACCATTCAAAAGTTTGGGGTCACTTAGAAATGTCATTTTTTTCGAAAGAAAAGCAATTTTTTGTCCATTAAAATAACATCAAATTGATCAGAAATACAGTGTAGACATTGTTAATGTTGTAAATGGCTACTGTAGTTGGAAATGGCTGATTTAAAAAAAAATGGAATATCTACATATGCGTACAGAGGCCCATTATCAGCAACCATCAGTCCTGTGTTCCAATGGCACGTTGTGTTTGCTAATCCAAGTTTATCATTTTAAAAGGCTAATTGATCATTAGAAAACCCTTTTGCAATTATGTTAGCACAGCTGAAAACTGTTGTGCTGATTAAAGAAGCAATAAAACTGGCCTTCTTGAGACTAGTTGAGTATCTGGAGCATCAGCAATTGTGGGTTCGATTACAGGCTTAAAATGGCCTGAAACAAATAACTTTCTTCTGAAACGCGTCAGTCTATTCTTGTTCTGAGAAATGAAGGCTATTCCATGCAAGAAATTGCCAAGAAACTGAAGATCTCGTACAACGCTGTGTACTACTCCCTTCACAGAACAGCGCAAACTGGCTCTAACCAGAATAGAAATAGGAGTGGGAGGCCCCGGTGCACAACTGAGCAAGAGGACAAATACATCAGTCTAGTTTGAGAAACCGACGCCTCACAGGTCCTCAACTGGCAGCTTCATTAAATAGTACCCGCAAAACACCAGTCTCAACGTCAACAGTGAAGAGGCGACTCTGGGATGCTGACCTTCTAGGCAGAGTTGCAAAGAAAAAGCCATATCTCAGACTGGCCAATAAAAATAAAAGATGGGCAAAAGAACACAGACACTGGACAGAGGAAGATTGGAAAAAAGTGTTATGGACAGACGAATCGAAGTTTCAGGTGTTTGGATCACAAAGAAGAACATTTGTGAGACGCAGACCACATGAAAAGATGCTGGAGGAGTGCTTGATGCCATCTGTCAAGCATGGTGGAGGCAATGTGATGGTCTAGGGGTGCTTTGGTGGTGGTAAAGTGGGAGACTTGTACAGGGTAAAAGGGATCTTGAAGAAGGAAGGCTATCACTCCATTTTGCAACACCATGCCATAGCCTGTGGACGGCGCTTGATTGGAGCCAATTTCCTCCTACAATAGGACAATGACCCAAAGCAGAGCTCCAAACTATGCAAGAAACATTTAGGGAAGAAGCAGTCAGCTGGTATTCTGTCTATAATGGAGTGGCCAGCACAGTCACCGTATCTCAACCCTATTGAGCTGTTGTGGGAGCAGCTTGACCGTATGGTACGTAAGAAGTGCCCATCAAGCCAATCCAACTTGTGGGAGGTGCTTCAGGAAGCATGGGGTGAAATCTCTTCAGATTACCTCAACAAATTGACAACTAGAATGCCAAAGGTCTGCAAGGCTGTAGTTGCTGCAAATGGAGGATTCTTTGACGAAAGCAAAGTTTGAAGGACACAATTATTATTTCAATTAAAAATCATTATTTCTAACCTTGTCAATGACTACATTTCCTATTTCCTATTCAAACTCGTTTCATGTATGTTTTCATGGAAAACAAGGACATTTCTATGTGACCCCAAACTTTTGAACGGTAGTGTGTGTGTGTGTGTATATATATGTATATGTGTGTGTGTATATATATATATATATATATATATATATATATATATATATATATATATATATATATATATACACACTGTGTATACATATATATATATATATCAGTGTATATACACACTGTGTATACAAACTATTAACAACACCTGCTCTTCAATGATAGACTGACCAGGTGAAAGCTATGGTCCCTTATAAAGCTATGATCCGGGGGTATTTAGAATTACCCCAGTATGAGGTATAAACGGTATATCGCCCAAGCCTACAGGTATGCATGTTAAGTTAAAGAGCAGCTGGAACCCTGGTTCATGTCATGTGTTGCATGTTTTGGGGCACTGGATATTTACATAACCCTCTCCCCCATATCTTTTTTCTGAGCCTGGCACTAGATATCTAGAGATCTATTTTCTTTTACTTATTTTGACAGATTTTTCACATACAGTATCTTAAAACACGGTGTGTATATTTAAGCAATAAGCCCAGAGGGGGTGTGGTATATGACCAAAATACCACGCCTAAGGGCTGTTCTTAGGCACAACGCAATGCGGAGTGGTATATTGGCCATATAACACAAACCCTGATGTGCCTTATTGCTGTTATAAACTGGTTACCAGTGTAATTAGAGCAGTAAAAATAAATGTTTTGTCATACCCGTGGTATACGGTCTGATGTTTACATTTTTTATTTAACCTTTATTTAACTAGGCAAGTCAGTTAAGAACAAATTCTTATTTACAATGACGGCCTACCGCGGCCAAACCTGGACGACGCTGGGCCAATTGTGTGCCGCCCTATGGGACTCCCAATCACGGCCGGATTGTGATACAGCCTGGAATCGAACCAGGGTCTGTAGTGACGCCTCTAGCGCTGAGATGCAGTGCTTAGACCGCTGCGCCACTCGGGTGCCCCGAGTCAGCCAATCAGCATTCAGGGCTCGACCCACCCAGTTTATAAACATGACATAATATTACAGAACATTAATAGACAAGAACAGCTCAAGGACAGAACTACATACTGTACATTTATAAATGGCACACATAGCCTACATATCAATATTTTTTTATATGTATGTGTGTGTATATATATATATATATATATATATATACAGTGGGGAAAAAAAGTATTTAGTCAGCCACCAATTGTGCAAGTTCTCCCACTTAAAAAGATGAGAGAGGCCTGTAATTTTCATCATAGGTACACGTCAACTATGACAGACAAAATAAGGAAAAAAAATCCAGAAAATCACATTGTAGGATTTTTAATGAATTTATTGGCATATGATGGTGGAAAATAAGTATTTGGTCAATAACAAAAGTTTCTCAATACTTTGTTATATACCCTTTGTTGGCAATGACACAGGTCAAACGTTTTCTGTAAGTCTTCACAAGGTTTTCACACACTGTTGCTGGTATTTTGGCCCCATTCCTCCATGCAGATCTCCTCTAGAGCAGTGATGTTTTGGGGCTGTCGCTGGGCAACACAGACTTTCAACTCCCTCCAAAGATTTTCTATGGGGTTGAGATCTGGAGACTGGCTAGGCCACTCCAGGACCTTGAAATGCTTCTTACGAAGCCACTCCTTCGTTGCCCGGGCAGTGTGTTTGGGATCATTGTCATGCTGAAAGACCCAGCCACGTTTCATCTTCAATGCCCTTGCTGATGGAAGGAGGGTTTCACTCAAAATCTCACGATACATGGCCCCATTCATTCTTTCCTTTACACGGATCAGTCGTCCTGGTCCCTTTGCAGAAAAACAGCCCCAAAGCATGATGTTTCCAACCCCATGCTTCACAGTAGGTATGGTGTTCTTTGGATGCAACTCAGCATTCTTTGTCCTCCAAACATGACGAGTTGAGTTTTTACCAAAAAGTTATATTTTGGTTTCATCTGACCATATGACATTCTCCCAATCCTCTTCTGGATCATCCAAATGCACTTCAGACGGGCCTGGACATGTACTGGCTTAAGCAGGGGGACACGTCTCGCACTGCAGGATTTGAGTCCCTGGCGGCGTAGTGTGTTACTGATGGTTGGCTTTGTTACTTTGGTCCCAGCTCTCTGCAGGTCATTCACTAGGTCCCCCCGTGTGTTTCTGGGATTTTTGCTCACCGTTCTTGTGATCATTTTGACCCCACGGGGTGAGATCTTGCGTGGAGCCCCAGATCGAGGGAGATTATCAGTGGTCTTGTATGTCTTCCATTTCCTAATAATTGCTCCCACAGTTGATTTCTTCAAACCAAGCTGCTTACCTATTGCAGATTCAGTCTTCCCAGCCTGGTGCAGGTCTACAATTTTGTTTTTGGTGTCCTTTTACAGCTCTTTGGTCTTGGCCATTGTGAAGTTTGGAGTGTGACTGTTTGAGGTTGTGGACAGGTGTATTTTATACTGATAACAAGTTCAAACAGGTGCCATTAATACAGGTAACGAGTGGAGGACAGAGGAGCCTCTGAAAGAAGAAGTTACAGGTCTGTGAGAGCCAGAAATCTTGCTTGTTTGTAGGTGACCAAATACTTATTTTCCACCATAATTTGCAAATAAATTAATTAAAAATCCTACAATGGGATTTTCTGGATTTTTTTTCCTCAATTTGTCTGTCATAGTTGACGTGTACCTATGATGAAAATTACAGGCCTCTCTCATCTTTTTAAGTGGGAGAACTTGCACAATTGGTGGCTGACTAAATACTTTTTTTCCCCACTGTATATGGGTCTGCAGATATGTGACCTTACCAAGAGGCACATGCCTGGCTAATATATGTGGTACATGTAAAAGTGTGCTGCTGTCACAATTGTTCATTTTCTGAAAAACAGATCTCCAGGTATCTATGCCAATTTAGATCTAGATTATTTAGGTGATGGTGGTGAGGGTCATTCCTATGGAAAGGGTTCTCTTGTCTTTCTCTCCCAGTGTTCTGTGTGGGTATACTCGAGTCTAGAGGAAAGTCTTGTTACATGATGTTGTTTTCTGACTGTAGGCGTTGACCACCGTGAGAAGAAGTACCAGGCCCACCGTCAGTTTGGGGACCGTCGTGGGGGCGTGATCAGTGCCAGGACATACTTCTATGCTGATGAGGCTAAGTGTGACAACCAGATGGAGACCTTCCTCAACTGCATCAAAGCCTCAGGTGAGAACACAATAAAATGCAGTGAATTGAATTAATTCAATTAGTCCAAAAATCTTTTTTGCAGACTCTTTGCAGATGTTGTTATATCATGCATAATATGATTATTATGATCTATTTAATGTTATGTTGTATCTGACTCTCAGGGGGGGCCTCTGTAGATGGATTTTCTGCCATTAAGATGACTGCCCTGGGCCGCCCACAGTTCCTGGTGAGTTAGACACCCTCTGCCTGTTAGACTCTCTCTTTTAGCCCTTGATTTAACATTGGCAGTGATCGTGACAGGGCAGCTTTTTAGTTTGTTTGTTTGTTGGCGTTATGACCTGTCTCCTCCCGTCTCCAGCTCCAGTTCTCAGAGGTGCTGGTGAAATGGAGGAGGTTCTTTAACCTGCTGGCAGCTCAGCAGGGGAAGTCGGGCATGGAAGCACTGGAGCAGAAACTGGAACTGGAGCAACTGAAGGTGCGTGTCGCCTAGAGCAACACTCAAAGTGGAGATGTGAATGAGGTCAAGCAGTTTCCCAGCTAAAAATCACCTAAACCGTCTCTCTGCTGGTAAGAAGACTCCCTAACAGACTTAATTTCTGTGGGAGCCCTATAGTTCCTTTGAGACGAAAACACCAAACACTATAGCAAAATTATGAAACATTTATTAATTGTTTTCCCTGCTAGTGATTACCGTTATCTTTAATGTCTCATCGTTAATAGTTATTGGTATTCTTTTAAAAAAATTCAAACCTATTTTGGTATTTTATTAGGATCCCCATTAGCTGTTGCGCAAGCAGCAGCTACTCTTCCTAGGGTCCACACAAAACATGAAACATGACATAATACAGAACATTAATAGACAAGAACAGCTCATGGACAGAACTACATACTGTACATTTTTAAACGGCACACGTAGCCTATATATCAATACAGACACACAAAATATCTAGGTCAAATAGGGGTGAGGCGTTGTGCCGTTAGGTGTTGCTTTATCTGTTTTTTAAACCTGGTTTGCTGTTCATTTCAGCAATATGAGATGGGAGTTCCATGCAATAATGGCTCTATATAATACTGTACTTTTGTTTGCTACAGGAGAGTTTGACTAAGCTGGGTGTTGGAAATAAAGACGACATTGAGAACTGGTTTACTGGAGAGAAACTGGGCTCATCAGGGTAAGAGGCTGAACTCACTTGGAATGCATCATGAGCACACAAACGATAGAATATTCAATGGATAGGATGTGTGTACAGGACTGGATTTGACTTTGAATCTGTCATTTACGTTATGTTCCCAAGAACGATAGACCTTCTGGACTGGAATAGCTTGATCAACGGCAGAACATCGATCTCAAACCTGCTCGTCATTCCCAACTTTGAGGCGAGCTAGCCACATATTACACACACATTTATTTACATATCCTTGTAATATTTAACACACGGGCATACTACTGTATGATATCTACCTGAATGTGTTTGTACACAGAAACTCATGAAGTGCATTATGTACCAGCACAAATTCATCCATCTATGCAGCATGTACATACAGTATATACATCCATTTTGTAGTTTAGGTCAGGATTGACTCTAAATGAAATGTGTGTTTCCTCTGATCTTCTAGACTGGTCAGCTGGAGCCTCTGTTGAGGAAGTTCACCATTGAAGAGGAGAAACAGATGAAGAGGATGCTGCAGAGAGTGGATGTTCTGGCTAAGGTAGGGTGATTTTAGAGTGCAATATGGGGCACTGTTAACTAGCATGGCTTTACAATTTAACAATTGGTTAACAACAGTATATTAACCCAGCTATTCACATATTAATTGAATCATGGGATGTAGTATATCTCAGATTTTACAAGAATATTCTCTTACTCTCAGCCCTGCCTCAGTGAGCAGGCCCTACATTTTACATTTACATTTTAGTCATTTAGCAGACTTACAGTTAGTGAGTAAATACATTTTTCATACTGGCCCCCCATGGGAAACGAACCCACAACCCTGGCGTTGCAAGCACCATGCTCTACCAACTGAGCTGCAGGGGACTACATGAGTTTATTGGAAATAAACCTTTTGGCAATAGTTTTGTTTGTTCTTGTTACAAATTTTCAGATTTACTTCAGCAATGTGTCATCATTGTTGGGAAAGGTTTCAGCCCACTCTGTTTGAATTGTAGTTGCACTACGCCAACAGGACCAAGAGTCTACTATGACATGTTGTATCCAAAGTCTGTTTGCTCTTAAGTGAGTCTCTATAGATAAAAGGAATACCTTGGTCCCTAGAGATTGCATTAGCATGGCTGGACTACATGGCAACACAAGATGCCTGTGGCCAAATGGCCAAAGACCTCAACATGCTACGACTATGACTGTGATATGTGGTTCTCTCACCTAGCTATCTTAAGATGAATGCGCTAAATGTAAGTGGCTCTGGATAGTCTGCTAAATTAATAAAATGTCAAATGTAACATGCTCTGAAATAGAAGGCTTAGACTCATACATTTCTATAGCCTAGGTAGGAGCAATATCACTGAAGGGTTTCAGATTATCAAGAACATTTTCTGCACACTTTTCTGGAGCTAACCGGGTTTGGTGCTAACTGTCAGAAGTTAACAGAAAGCTTTTGTTCTTCCCTCTATCCCAGCATGCAGTGGAGAACGGGGTGAGGCTGATGGTGGATGCTGAGCAGACGTACTTCCAGCCGGCCATCAGCAGACTGACCCTGGAGATGCAGAGGATCTTCAACAGAGAGAAGCCCATCATCTTCAACACCTACCAGTGCTATCTCAAGGTGAGGCCTCGACACTGCCCTCTACACCAGGGGTAGGCAACTAGATTTTTGTCGGAGCGAATGGTCGGGGACCGGAAAATAATTATAATAATTTGTACACTGCAAAGTGACCACAACTAAGCCCAAACTAAGCCCAAAAAGCATTTGTATTTGAAAATAACAATCAATTCAAACCTTGATTACATTGAGACACGATCACATAAGTGATTTATTTTATTGTTATTACTAAAAACTTTTGGGGCCCAAAAAAATCATTTGTGGGATGGTTTTGGCTCGCTGGCCGCCTTATGCTGACCCCTGCTCTACACCCTCTGTCATCACCGGCCCCGTTCTTGTGCATCTTCTTATTAATCACTTTACCTTATGTATGTAGAGCTTGGGACTTGTTATTTGGACTACATGTACAATCTCATAGATTATGTATGTAGGGAGGATCCCTGTTATGTATAGACTTGTCATACGCTTAGAGTGAAACAGGTTTTGTACGCCTTCCATATTTGACTCATAAAAGCCCAACCTAGTATATAATCCATATAAACCTTCCATAGCCTTGTTTGTTTTTTGACATAAACATGAAACGTGAAATGAAACTATTAAAACACAATTGTGTTACTTATCTACCCTTTATAAGAGATGTTATGGACAGCCTGGTGACTAAAATGTCAAGATTTGTGTTGTTAACCATAGCATTATATAATTGTGTGTGACCTTTTACTACCTGTACAGGAAGCCTATGACAATGTGTCCGTGGACGTGGAGCTGTCCCGGCGTGAGGGCTGGTACTTTGGGGCCAAGCTGGTCCGCGGGGCCTACATGTACCAGGAGAGGAGCAGGGCGGAAGAGATCGGCTACGAAGACCCCATCAACCCAGACTACGAGGCCACCAACCGGATGTACCACAAGTAAGACCCCCTTCTGTGCTTTGGGGTGAGGTTTCCCCTAGGTACAGATCTAGGATCAGCTTCCCCGACCCCCAATCCATTAGTGTGGAAAATGCAAAACAGACCGAAGATCATCTTCACCCTACTCCCATTGGTGTTATGCATGACGTTAGTAAATTGGTATTTACATGGTTGAATTTGGATGCATTATGTGATGAAGTTATCATATCAGCTGAATGGAATAGATAAAGTTCCTTATCTTTTCCCTGATTCTCCAAAGGTGTTTAGAGTTTGTGTTGGAAGAGATCGACCACAACAGGAAGGCTAATGTCATGGTGGCGTCACACAACGAGGACACTGTCAAATTCACCCTGGAAAAGTAAGGCCAGCCTCTGGGCTTTATTCAAATCAAGAGGCGGATAGACTAGTTACTAGACTATTTGTACAGACATTTTGCAACACAAAGCACCAAACCAGTAGTAAAACCACTTCACAGAAATCAAATGTATTACATCAATGGGCATGTAGCCTAGTGGTTAAGAGCGTTAGGCCAGTAACCGAAAGGTCACTGGTTCGAATCCCCGAGTCGACTAGGTGAAAAATCTTTCTGTGCCCTTGAGCAAGGCACTTAACCCTAATTGCTCCTGTAAGTCGCTCTGGATAAGAGTGTCTGCTAAATGACTAAAACAAAAATGCATACATCAGTGAGGTGATATTTATTTTTGCACAGTGTTATGTTTTTTTAATATTTACATTCCGTCTGTGTTGTGTCTCTGCAGGATGAACCAGATGGGTCTGTCGCCCACTGAGAACAAGGTATATTTTGGACAGCTGCTCGGCATGTGTGACCAGATCAGCTTCCCACTAGGTACTGTAATCTCAACACCATCAGAACTGTAGATAGGTGTTGCATAATCAAGGGGTTTATTGCAGTTCAAGATTTATTGATTGGCATTTTGGTCAGAAATCTTGTGCGAAACAAACAACCTCAGGGTCTCACTCCGTCATCAGTCACCTGATACCATACCATAGCTATCTTTAGTGTGTAGATCAATAGGGGTTCACACAGTTCTTACACATTTTGTTATTATATAATTTAGCTATCTATTGATTTGCAAATTGAGTTTAGAGACTAACGTTTAGACAAAAATACCTTCCATACCTGTACATGTAATTAGGTTCCAATGTTTTTCTGTGCTTGTGTGAAACATATTGCCTGTCGTTGTTGCTTCTCCAGTCATGTAACATCTCCCACTCTCTCTGTGTCTGAGAACAGGCCAGGCTGGATTCCCAGTGTACAAGTACGTCCCCTACGGCCCAGTCAACGAGGTCATCCCTTACCTGTCTCGCCGTGCACTGGAGAACCGGGGCTTCATGAAGGGATCCCAGAGGGAGCGCAGCCTGCTATGGAAGGAACTCAAACGCAGGCTGCTCAATGGACAGATCCTCTACAAGCCTGTGTACTAACTGAGCTGACTGACTGTCTGGCACACCAGCACTCTGCCCCTGTAATACATTCCAATGTCTTAACTGTACCTGCCCTGCGCACAATGTGGCGAATACTAACTGCCACTTAAGTTGAATTTTCACTTAGTCATGCGCTGATGTCAATGGGAGCCTAAAGTGAAGAATTGACTGAAGTGGAAGTTAGGATTCACCCCCATGGCTTTAGAATGTACTGTAGGTAGTTGTGCCTAGTACTAAGATGCTCTCCTAATGCCAAAAGACCCTCTGATTGTCTCTGCCTTTCTATCTATTTATTGCTGCCAAAAGTGTCCTTATTTTATATAAGAATATCTCTTATCCACTGTAGGTTTGCAGCTTATTCAGTAGCTTATTGGGCGTTTTAAAGTTAAGTTATAGTTCTTAAACTAGCATGGAAAGTGTGTGATTGTTAACACTGCTTATAGAGTCGTATCAATTTAACTGTAAATTGATTTAACTGTAGTTGTCGTTATGATTTCTCTGGATTTATTAAGGCTCTTATTTAATGTGTCCAGTGTCTTTTTTTCCTTTCCATGTTCAGAAATGGTATGTTTTGTAAAAATGGAGTTGCTATCATTTTCTTACAGACTGCTTTGGAACCATGTTTAAAATGGTCCTTTCTATCTATGTTTTGCTGAACTGTGGATGATTGGCCATTTGTAAATACTTTGTACAGGGTTCTAGCTTTGCTGATTTAAAACAAATATTTAAATTATTTAAATAGAAATATAAAACTGATGTACACAAGGTAGTACAGTATGATGATATTACTGTCTTATTTTATCTCCAATTTGTTGAAGGAATAAAGCATGTCAATGAGAAAAGCACTGTGCATGTTAGGTTTATTCTTGAGCTTTGCAATGTTTGTTGCTGATAATTAGTTACAGATCTTATTTTTATGCAAATATAATTGTTTTTCTTAAGGATGTAGATCAGCTTTAATATTGCAGATCGATTGTGGCTTCCATCAATGTAATTGTTTGCATAATTTCCATTCCCCCATATATTTATTTTGTAAATATATATATATATATATATATAGTAAATATATTTTCCTTTATTTCCCCCTAACCCTACCGTCCCTCCCCTAATTGGAGTAAACAAATGGACAACAACACTTAGGCTTCTACTTCCAGCTTAAACATACTATATACATTTTACGGGCACAGTATATTTTACAATAGTTATCTATCTCTAAACACCATCCAGTTTTGATTTCTATTTGCCATATATTTTTCAACTGTGCTGTGATGTTTCACAAAAGTTCTGAACCTTTCTATTCTCAGATTCTACATATTGTAAATTAAAGATAAACATTTTTGCTAAGAGTATTATTATATTATTGATCGATTTGACTATTACTTTTTAAATCACCCAGCAGTAGCCCTTTTTAGAAAGGAGAACATCTAATGATTTAGGGTATTGATGAGAAATGGACCTCCTGTATTGTCAAATGATAAGCGCTTTGTTGAGTTGTAATTTCAGTGCAGTTGTTGCCTCAACTGTCATATCTGTGTGTATAGGAAATCAGATCCACATTAATTGTAATGTAGGTCTTTTATAAAGTAATATACCATTCAGATACTGTATCACCAAGATCATGTTTTATATGATGAAAAGGTGAACAATAAATAAAGGTCTTATAAAACCATCTGTATGTAGTGGTTTTCATATTGATGTGTAAAGCATGCAATATATTTTGTAGTTTTTTTGCGGGATGCATGTTAACTATCCAGTGAATGGAATGCGTTCTTTAATACATACACATCAATGTCGCTGAAGCATTACACAGATGTGTCCAACCTGGTCATCTGGAGACGGACTGGGAACAGAAATCACCACTGGCATTTCTAACACACCGGCCCATTTTCTTTCTTGAGGCCACCACACCGGCCCTCTAGACCAACCGGGCAATTATTTTCCTTGAGCCCCCCAGATATAGCCAGATAATGAAACAAGTTAGACATGCCCACTGGGCTGAAAATGGACCAGCCCATCTGGCATTTGCCAAAAATGCCAGATGGCCACTCCACACCTGGCATATTGAATGAGGTAACAATCAGTTAGGCCTACACATACACAGATCTTTCTAGGCTTTGTCTACTGTTGATGAGCATGTGCCCATGCAGCCACTTAGAGGAGATTTGTATGTAAGTTTGGAAGTTAAAATAAGCCTGCTTATGTAACTGGTTACTGGAACCAATTAGTTTGTGTTTAGAGTACATCTCCTGTCTGGCCCTAGTTATATGTTAGCCCTAGTTATATGTTAGCCCTAGTTATATGTTGGCCCTAGTTATATGTTAGCCCTAGTTATATGTTAGCCCTAGTTATATGTTGGCCCTAGTTATATGTTAGCCCTAGTTATATGTTAGCCCTAGTTATATGTTAGCCCTAGTTATATGTTAGCCCTAGTTATATGTTGGCCCTAGTTATATGTTGGCCCTAGTTATATGTTAGTCCTAGTTATATGTTAGCCCTAGTTATATGTTAGCCCTAGTTATATGTTAGCCCATTCCACAAAAATGTCCAGCCCATTAGGAATATTCATTTTATTTTGGATTTATTTATGATGTTCCGGCCAGTCAATAACTGCCATTTAAAAGCAGTCTGTTGACAGTGTTAGCCATGTGACTGTAGAATTATGATGCCTCTTCTAAAAAAATTATTGAGTAAGTGGCCATGGCCAACATTTTGGTTGGTTTCAATTGGGAATTAGGTACACAAGAATAATCCTTTAATGATTTAAATAACATCTGACATTTCATTTGTGTTGCTCTCTAGAGCTAGTCTAGACTAGAGACCTTGTTATCTCTCTATTCCAGACATGATTATAGCCTTCAGACATCGCCTTGACAACAAAGCCATGACAACAAACAGGGCACACATGATCTGTCTCTGCCAATCAAACACAGACAGCAGCAGCTGGTAGAGACAGTACACAGAGCCATTATTCCACTGCTGTGCAGCATTACTAAATGTTCCATGGCATTCAATCATTGTTTGAACAATGTACCCCAACCATCGCACCACACATGCACCTGCACAGCTTTGTTATAATAGCTTCAGTGGGGCGCATGGGGGCATAACAATTCAAATCAGGTCCAGTTAGATATCATCATAGAGCGACCTTTAATGTGTAAGTTATCCTTTGTAAGTCATCACACTCAATCACCCATGGATAAGTTATTGCATGCACCTGTGGTTCAAGTAATTTCTCTATACTAAATCTAGATTTGGTGTAGATTGGGTGTTGGTGGATTTCAGGGGACAACTGATAAAGACAGAATGAGGATGTCAGACAGGGCCGTCTGAGAGTGATGTATGTGGGCTGAAATGGGTTTCAGTATTTATTAGACAACATTGTAGTGTACAGTGTATCATGTATCATAGCGGTGTTTCATGCTGTGTCAGCATGGAACATGTTCTCTAGCTTTGTAGTTAACATGATGGTACACAGTGTGAGAGCAGCTATAATAGAAATCAAGTGTACAAACCACACACAAACACAAACACACACACACACAGACAGTTCTATGGCAGATTACAAAGAGACTCACAGATGGCAGTGAGAGAAAATGTGTTATGCAGAGAGAGGAGTGTTGGAACACTTTTTTATTCTGTATTCTCTTCTGACAAACTTTCTCTGAAGACAGCAGATTACTGGCAGACAGTATTCACAATCCCTTCATAATGAGCATATTCTTCATTGAGGTCCAACTATATGTGAAATGTGATGATGTAAATCATGTCAAGTCCTGACTTTTTTTGGAACATTGCCGGTAGTCCATGTGCACCATGGTAAAGTGTTATACAACCACAAGATGGCAGTCAAGTCAAACCCAGCAGCTTGCTAAATAACTGTATTCAGGCCAACAGGACTTACCATGTTGTGTCTTAGAGAGCCAAAGGGGGGGGGGGAGAGAGAGAGAGAGAGAGAGAGAGAGAGAGAGAGAGAGAGTGTAATGTGAGCTAATCTGAGCTCTGCTCCCTGAGATGATGTGACTGACAGGATGTGGAAGTGTCCTGAACAGCAACAGCTGTGCATCCTTGGATTTAGGGTAGCATGATGACACAGAGTGTGCGGGTGTGTGTTTGTACGACATGGTAAGTCCTGACCGGTAGCTTAGCAGGAAGAGTAGGGAACTATGGAACATTCAGGGACGTGAGGGTATAAGGTCAAATCCTGTTGAAGACACACTATTAGGCCAAAAAGATCATGAAGGACAACCACCCGAGCCACGGCCTGCTCACCCCGCTACCATCCAGAAGGCGAGGTCAGTACAGGTGCATCAAAGCTGGGACCGAGAGACTGAAAAACAGCTTCTATCTCAAGGCCATCAGACTGTTAAAAAGCCATCACTAGCCGGCTACCACCCGGTTTTCAACCCTGTACCTTAGAGGCTGCTGCTCCATATACATAGACATGGAATCACTAGTCACTTTAATTATGGAACACTAGTCACTTTAATAATGTTTACATACTGCTATACTCATTTCATATGTATATACTGTATTCTATTCTAATATTTATATATTTCTTAATTCCAATCTTTTAATTTTAGATTTGTGTGTATTGTTGTGGATTCTTAGATACTACTGCACTGTTGGAGCTAGGAACACAAGCATTTCGCTACACCCGCAATAACATCTGCTAAATATGTGTATGTGATCAATAGAATTTGATTTGATGAGTGTGATCGTGTCGTGTGTGTGTGTGCATGAGTGTGTGTGTGTATGTGATTGTGAAACTCTGGACACCTCATAAACACTGCAGGCAGAGCTCTCATTTCAGTCCCATCGTGATCCCAATGGCGAATAGCATTATACCCACTATAAGTTTCCTATGGCCGGAGAACAGCGGGAAAATGTGATACTTTAATTAATCTAAATGGTATGAAATGGTTTCTGATACTGATCAGCTCATGGAAACAGCTGTCCCTGGATAATAGTGCTGGACTGGCCTTTGCCAACATTGGGAAAGAAGGCTTTGTTACCTCATAACGTCCTAGTTGCACCCCCTTTTGTCCTCAGAATATCCTCAATTTATCGGGGCATGGACTCTACAAGGTGTCGAAAGCGTTCCACAGGGATGCTGGCCCATGTTGACTCCAATTCTTCCCACAGTTGTGTCAAGTTGGCTGGATGTCCTTTGGGTGGTGGACCATTCTTGATACACATGGGAAACTATTGAGCATCAAAGACCCAGCAGCGTTGCAGTTCTTGACATTAAACCGGTGCGCCTGGCACCTACTACTATACCCCATTCAAAGGCACTTAAAACTTTTGTCTTGCCCCTTCACCCTCTGAATGGCACATATACACAATCCATGTCTCAAGGCTTAAAAATCCTTCTTTAACCTGTCTCCTCCCCTTCATCTAGACTG